AAAGGCAACCTACGGAAAGGGAGAAAATATTTGCAAACCATATATCAAATAAGGGGTAAATATCTAAAATATATAAGGAACTCATGTAATTCAATAGCAAAAAAAGATCCAATTAAAAATGGGCAAAAGATCTGAAAAGATATTTTTCCAAAGGAGATATTCAAATGGCCAACAGATACAAGAAAAGGTGCTCAATGTCACTAATCATTAGGGAAATGCAAATCAAAACCACAACAAGGTATCACCTCATACCTGTGAGAACAGCTCTCGTCAGAAAGACAAGCGATGTGCTGATGACGATGTTAAGAAAAGGGAAATCTTGTGCACCGCTGGTGGGAGAGTAAATTGGTACAGACGCTACAGGAATCAGTATGCAGATTCCTCAAAAATTAAAAACAGAACTACCAAGTGATCAGCAAGCTCACTTCTGGGGATAAAGATATGAAATCACTATCCTAAAGAGGTATCTGCACCCCCATGTTCACTGCAGCATTATTCACAACAGCCAAGACATGGAAACAACCTAAGTCTATCGACGGATGAATAAATAAAATGTGGTAGACACATATATATATCATGGAACATTAAAGATTTCAGGGAACCACCCCTTTCTACCACATACATGTGTACATTCATATATATAAAAACACATATGCACACATACATCCACACTTTTCTGTAGTACTTGCATATACTATTATCAGAAAGAAAAAACCTGTAACACACACAACCAGTGCTGATGCAACTGCCTGTGAAAGTTCAAGTCCGCGGGAACACATCCCTGCTACCCTCACTCTCCCTCCGCTTATACAAGACACTCAAGGACACTGGTCTGACTACTTTGTACTGACACTTTATACATACTGTCCAGGTGGATTTATTAAGTCTGTCAATATCAGAAGCCAGACATAATCTAAAATTTGAACATCTTTAAGAAGCAACCATATATTCAAAGAAAATTGTGACAGAAATACGAGGTAATTATTAACCGGAGGAAAACAAATTATTCTAGATAAGAATGTAACCATGGTGCACTGGCTGACTCAGCAGTAAATAATATTTACTTAGTCATGATTTTGAAAACACTTTATCTGGATTTAACCAAAAACTGAACATTAACTCTAGAGAGAAGGTGCAAGGAGGAAAGGGGAAAGGGATCATACAAAGAACTAAATTCCTTATCTACCATAGTAAGAAAGAGTTGGTACAGGGTATCTAAAATGACCAATAAATGAATAGCAAAATATACATATTATTTAGAAATATGCACATAAGTACTAGGAGAAACAACTGAAGGAATAATTTTCCTGGGAACTGATGTTATAAGGTGGTTTAGGTTTAAGGGCAGAGAACTACTGTTTTTTATTATAAATCTTCAGAAGTGTTCAACACTTTCAAGTTTAAACAGATAATACTTTAAGTTTTGAAGTTTTTTTTTTAAGGCAAACAACTATATTTGGATGATCCATCTAAACATATGGTTTTGCTAATAATCATGGGGAACAAGTGCCAAACATATATATATAAACTTTTTAAGTTGGGAGATGACTCTATGGCTTAAATTCACTAAAACATGCTAATTATTGAGCTCATTTTCAGAAGCCTTATGTTCTTTGTTGTTTACTGGCCGTGGAACTACTCCTAGGCCTTTAGACAATTTCAGCATGCCAAACCTACATGAGAATTCTTTACATCTACTTTGTACTTACTGCCAAAAAGAAATCAAAATAACGAAACCTCACGTTGCAAATACTTAGTAATTTCCCCATCCAAGAAAATATGTTGATGAGATATCAGTAAAAGGACTGAAAAATAGGAGATTTACCCAGTTTTCTTAGAATCTATGCCTTGTAGCTAGAAACAGAATCAAGTACATTACCATCAGAGGAATACCCAGTAAGGCCTCCAAAAATGACCAGCACATAGCTAACATCAAGCTCCCTCATGATCTCATAGGCTTTTTCTTCTGTGGATGCCATTGCCTAGAAAAACACATGCACGTTTCTCAGAGCAAAATTTCAGGTCATATGATTCCTCATGGAGAATATTTCCCACTAGCCTGTGCAGCAAACACTCAAAGGACCCCTTCACCTTACCTGCCCTACTCGAGAAATGTGGGTATTATTCCACGTGTTATTATCCACTAAAATTGTCCGATTCGCCATAGCTGTGATCTGGTAGCCATAATCCCACCAGGACATGACCTTCGCATCCTGAGAGAAGAACAGGAAATGGAAAAAACAAGATCTCACTGCCTCCAAAAATCAAATACAAGAAGAGTAAAGGGCATCTGACAGAAGTGAGATACGGCTTATTAACCAGTATCTTCATAAAATAACGCATCCCTAACAAGAAAGCAAGTCTTGGCACCTGGCCTACATTTATATACAATCATGAAATCTCGATGCAAATTACACAACCAAACACTGCCAATACTTTCATCCCAGATCACCTTACACAAATAAGCATTAATGGGGTGGTGAGTGGAGGGGACTATGTAATATTTTCAAATAAATAGCCTGGTGTCATCACATAACTGTATTAAATAAATGACCTTATATAATATCACAAAAATCAGTTACCATAAAGAAGGGAGCTGACAGAAAAAGGGGGAACAAATCACAGGATAATGACCAAGGTTTAAGGATTACAGATTAAGGAATTCTTGTAATAATCTAAGTCAGAAGTGCCATTCCCAGTAGCTACTGGAGAGGAAATGAGTTCAGATTCCCAAAAGGTATAAACCAAAATGTTAAAAGTAGTCATTAGGTGATCCTTTATGGAAAATATTCTTTTTCTTGGTTCTATTTTCTGATTTTTCTACAATGATCATGTATTACTTATTTTTAAATTTTTTTCTTCTTCTGTAATTTGGCTGGTCTACCTCATGACAGAATCTCCATGCTGTCAATACAAGTGCCTGAGCAGAGTGCAGATAATTACCAGTAAGGGTCACTGTAGCAGAAATCCTGAATTAAACGAAGGCAGACCTTTAAGGCTGGAACACCAGAGTGCCACAGTCCCAATTTCTCCAAGCTTTCCAACCATCTAAAAGCTACTTAATTCGCTGTAACATCAAATGTCTCCCCCCTCCTCCTACTCCACAATCCCTCTCCTCCCAAATCTTCACCTCTGGAGTATTGTGACGGAGCCAGTAGTACGCTTCTCGAAAGTCATCAAAAATGATCCTACTGCCGTCCCCACCGCGAGCAGACAGCACGATGGAGGGGGAAGAGTAGGCCTCACTGGTCACCCAGGTTGAATGAAACGTGTAGGTGATGAGAAAGAAAGCCATGACCAGAATCATGCCACTTGCCACCTAAACAAGGAAGAATTGTGTTGTAAACCAAATTAAATTTACACAACACAGAACTGCTTCTTACACACCGTCAATAATACAGACGAGATGAATCAAAGTCAGAGGCTACGTGAGTTAATTCCGACCACCTGTGGCAGTGCTCTACCTTACTCCTCCTCAATCAAAAAAACCCCCACAATACATGCATACATACACAAACACACACACACACACACACACACACACACTCAAACACACAGTTCCCCAAGCCTATTCTTTGCATTGCTAAATTCTCACTTCATTCTTAATAGGGTAGGTAGAATCCTGTTGTTTCTTGCTCTTCTTGTCTGGTCGACTTATGTCCAAATTCTTCATATAAGTGGACAGCACTTGAGAGACTCCAATGCCAGAAAGAATGCACATAACAGGCGCCAACACCAGCATCAGACGCACCTAAAAAGCAGGAAGCACAATCTAATCGGTATTCTACAAATTACAGACGTCAACCTATCATCAGCTTAGGGGTTTTCAACAAACATGATTTGTTAGTGGAACAGAACAAAATAGAAGAGAAAATATTTGATACATCTACAGTAGAATTATATTTCTTCTTTAAAAATTTTGATTTTGCTTACTTTTTAGAAGTATGTATTTTTTTAAAGATTGTTTATCCATTACACATCCTGAGAAATGACATAAAATGTATTTCTTAACTGTGGTTTGGGGTCAAGAAAGCATGAGAAATACTGTCCTACTGCAATATATGAAATCTCTCTTCTAATAACCTAGCACTCAGTACCCAGGCCTTTAAGGAAAAAACATCACCTCCCTTTTTAAGACACCAGAAAGAGCTGAGAACGAACCTGCCCAGTCACCTTCTCCAACGAGTGTCAAAGCACCTCTCCCTCATACAAGGTTCTGAATCCAAGAAAGCTGGGCCCCACAATCAGAATGATGGGTGCCCCTCACCTTCCTGGGAAGGATCAACAACGGTGGGAGCTTTATAACTCAGCCCCTCAGATGTCAGAAGGAAGCATGTACACAATCGCGGGTACTTCCTGAATCCTGCCATGCAGGGGGGGAGAAACCTCAGAGCTAGGGGTGGAAAGGTCTGCTAGGACTGAGGGCCTTGCTCACCATTACAGCTGAAAAGTACATGCTGGTCACACCATACATGATGATGAAAATCCGGGCATCAGACAGGTTGCTAAAGCAGTAATAGAGTCCAACTACAGAGGGAAAAGTGAAAAGAAGTCAGCAGCTGATGAAAAGACAATCATAAATACATGCAAAGATCACCATGGCACTCCCCAAAATAGCAAAAAATTCTGAAACCACCTAAATGCTCAGCATTAAGAAGGTACTTAATTACAGACGCTTTATAATATAGAATGAAATATATCAATTAAAATACTGCTGCAGAAGATTATGGACCATTTGCCGTCTTCTCTACACACCTCTGTACTTAAAAAAACTAACGAATGATATATCTTAAATATTATTTCTCTAAAATAACACAAAATAACATAATTATCATGATTATGAAATTTTTTAAATCAGAGGAAAAAGCTGCACCATCTGACTTCTCATCAATAAATAACTGGATGAATATACATCAAAATGCTAACAGTAACAACAGATGTGGTGAGAACTCCTAAAATATTTATTTTTTAAAAAATTGTCTATATTTTTACGAGACAATTTACTTTCATAATAAGAAAAAAACAAAAGCTATTCTAAAAAAAAAAAAGTGCCCTACCACTGATAAATTCTAAAACATATCTGAAATGGCCAGAAGGTAAGTTAGAGTCAAATGGTGATTCTTAGACAGAAGGCCACTTCAGAACAAGGCAAACAGACCTGGAAACATGAAGACAAGAAGCTGCAGGTCAAAATAGTATGAGGACCAGGTCGTAGGCTGGTGCTCAGACACGGAGGCAATGATGGGGATGTTGTTCTTAGCATATGAAGGATCCAGCAGCGAGTAGAAACGCCCTGTCCAGGGGGATATTTTTCCTGCCAGCAAAGTGGTAACAAATATTTCACAATTATTTCTGAGACAAAACACCCAATCCTAACTTATCACTTTCCATTTTAATAAGATTTTCTGAGACTGAGAAGGACTAGGTTTTTATTTAAACGCCACCAATACTTTGAGAATTTCACTCCTTACTTTCTTTCAAACTTGAGAGAACTTTTGCCAGCAGAACCAGCAGAATAAAGTTGGGCTGTATATAAACTTAGAGGGAAGGGAGGCAGAAGAGACTCCTAGAAGGGTTTTAGGCCAAATCTGGTCAAACCAAGGCCAACTCAATGAACTAAGTCACTCTGTCCTCTAGTGCTGCTCTGAATTACACAATACACCAGAGTCTCAGGCAAAATCAAAACAGCCTCTGAATCGTGGAAGGGAGGAAAATGAAGGAAGGAGGGAAACATGGCATGCTAACCAAACAGAACAGCCATGCTTTAGTGCACACAGGCTTAGATGAGGCGTGCCGTGGGGTATGGTAAGCAATGCTAGGCCCTCTCCCACCTGACCAACAGGAAAGAAAAGGGGAAAAAAAAAAAAAAGAGGTGACAGATTAGCATGGTAAGATACAGTCCTGTCACCAAGCATGGTTTTTCTGAGATTAAGAGCTGCTCTAGTAAGATATTCTTTGCTATGCTGAATCCAAACACTGGCTGACAAGAGGACTGAATGTGTGAAAGTCAGACTTTATATGCTTGAAATCAAAAGAGAAACTGGAAGAAAAGAACGAACCGTTCTGTGGTCAGGAAATAACCCTTATTTTTGGAGTTTATTCTATGTTAGTACCCAATTACACTTAATACTAAAGGCCTTCCCTACCTGTCAGCATGAGGAGAGCTCCCACGGTGAGAAGGACAAAGCCTACCAGGGAGATGACACTTCGGAAAAGAACTTCAAATTGCTGTGGATTCAACTTGCTGCGCAGATAATCCACAAAGGCATGGATCTGGCAGAGACCAAAGACCCCGAAGGCTGCCATGTGCTCTGATGACAGAACGGGCTGCAGGTGAAAGCATATGTATGAGAATATTAGGAAAAGGATGGGTCCAGCCTTGACCTGAATTATCCTGATCAAGTTCAGACCAGAGAATCAAACGAGTTCTGAGGCCACCAAGGAATTAGGGCCATTCTAGGATACAGTCTAATTCAGCTGTCACATTTTCCAAAGAATATTTGGAGTCCCCCAGACTGTACCATACTCTATCATTTCTGGCCTTTGCTCAGGCTATTTCTTTAGCCTCAACTGCAATTTTCTCATTATCCCAAAATTTGCATTCACTGAAATTCTCATCAGTCAAGGCCCAATGCACATACCATTTCCTTCTAATCTGCCCAACTGAAATCCATCACTCCCCTCCATATTCCACACACTGAGATCTCTGCCATCACTTAGGCCAGTGGTTCTCAAACCACAAGGCATCATAACCATGGCAGGGGAAAAGACAAAGGAGTATTTAGACATAGACTGCTGAGCCCCACCGCCCAAGTCTCTGACTCAGTGGGTCTGTGGCAGGTCCTCAGAATTTGCATTTCTAACAAATGCCGAGATGCTGCTGCTCCACGAACTACATTTCTAGAACCACACAGTACAGAGAAGCTGCGGTGCTTCTTTCCCATCAAGACTGTGACTTCCTTAAGGACTAGAACTGATTTTCATTTCTTACATTTCCCAGTTATCAGTAAACTGCACATAGTAGGTGATCAGTAAAGAAATACTTACTGACCTGAATAAGGGTTCCACTTTCTTAAGAATTTTACATGAGAAATCAAACACACCACATTATTCTCTGACTTAACAGCTGTTTCTTAACCCTGTGGGGTAATGTGATTGTAAGGTTTGTGCTTTGCTTCCTATAGGACTTTCACTAAGGCCCTATTAAGAAGTTCAGGGGTCATTACTATTAAATGGGGTCATTTGCATTAAAAAGGACTGGAAAACATATAACTTTGATCACTCACATCAATTCAAGTTCAGCCAAAATATCCCTCCTCCTCCCATAAACCTAAGGCAAAGTAAGAGTCATTAAATTCAAACTTCATGAGAAAATATTAACACACTCCAGGAGGCAGACTTTAATGACCAACGATTCTGTTGCTTCAGTTAACACAGGCAGTCCAAAGCCAGACCTGTGAATAAGTTTTTACTATCCTCACTAGAATCTAAGATAAATCAATCTAGTTGGAGCTGCTTAGAAAAAGTAGAAGAAACTAAAAACTTCACCCTGTCTAGGACTCACCTGGAAACCCACAAAGGAGATCTGCATGGAAAGGATGGTGCCCAGGCAGTAAACAGTACAGTAGGCCACGTAGATCCGGTGGGAGAAACGTCCCGTGAGCATGAGCACCAGCACGTGAAGAGGGATCAAGTTGATCAAGAACACATACCCTCCCCACGAAGAGACCTAGGACAGGACAAAACAGAACAGTTCCTCTGAGCACTCGTCCTTGCTCCACTGCCATTATACCTTAGCATATTACCTGCGAGCTTTTTAAAGAACATCTCTTTATAATAAGCAAAAACTTAATTTATGCCAAGTGGCTTAAAGAGTTTAAATAGCTGACTTCTTTAAATAGGAAAATCAACTTAACACCCATTGCTGTAACTCAATCCCCTGTTCTCCATGGCTCCTGCCATCACAATCACAGAACAAGAGGGCCCCAACCCTCAGGGCTTACCTGGATGCAGCCTAGTGCAAGGTTACAGGGAGGACTTAGGGGTACATGGGAAACGTGAGCAAGTGGAAGCAGTTAAGGGAAGGAGTTTCAGTGTTTACAAAAGATCGAACAGAAAAGAAACACATTAGAAAAGGGGAAATTTAAGAAGAACATACTAGAAAAGAGAGTTGGCCAACCAATATGTACCCATAAGAAATACAGTATCTGGAGACCTTTAAAAATTAAAAAAATTATCTCCAGCTTCCTATTTTAAAAGGGATATCCTTGTCCACCTTGGTTTAGGCTTTGTATGGATACAAGGGACAATTAAGACTTCTAGCCTCCAGTCCATGGTCTCAAAGCCCAAGAGTTACTTCCAATTTCTATCAGTTGATCCCAATAGGTACTGAGACACAGAGAGACTCCTGGAAGAAAGATGTGAAAAATTACCATGTAGAAATAAGCAAGGGCACACTTCGCTGCCCAATAGATGGAACCAGTCTTTACTGCTTTGATCCACATGTAGTAGGTGAGCAGCATGCAAAAGATGGCAATCCCTGCAGAAAGAACACAAAAATTCAATAAAAGGCCATGCTGGAATCCTATTTAATACTGTTCCGGAACAAACTATCTGGATTCATAGCTCAGATCTCTACCCATTAATAGTATAACTACTCTAACAACTCTTTGCCTCACTTTCCTAGAAGAGTCCATAACAGTATCTACTTCACCAAGTGTCGTGAAGACAAATTCAGCTACTGCCTGTACAGCACTGAGAACAGAACCCAGCCCACAGCAAGCACACAGTGAGCGTTCGCCATGATCACTACTGCTCTCTCCAGGACTAAACTCCCTGCTACTTTAGTCCTAAAGATAATCCCGGACCGCCAGGCACCCCCTGCTTCTCCATCCTCCCACAAGCTGGTCCTTACACCCTGACTGGGCCTCTCCTTAGCATCTGTCGAATGAAGTTCCAACTTCACGGCCCAGTTCCATCACAACTACTTCTGAAAAGCCTTCCCTGATCCGCAAACCTGAGTTAATCTCTCCTCTCACTACATTCCCAGAGTACTCTGCTCGTACTTCTCTCATGGCGCATAATACTATCTGCCTGTTATTTGTTATTTTCATAGGTCCACATTAATCTTCATTAATAGATTATGGGCCAACATAACTTTATTCATTATCTATCTCTGTAATTCCTTAACTGTAGGCTAAAATAATTTTATTCATTATCTATCTTCGTAACATCTAACACTGTGTTTCACTAATAACATTCAATAAATACAGGCTGAATTGAAAATAAGTCACTGAATGTCATTACAGTTTAAAGAATATCCATTCCTCTTATCTAGGAGAATGAAGCAAATGATTACAGTTTTAAAACAATAGCACCATTCAACACTAACACTTAACTCTACTTTTAGGAGTACAGAGACGAGGCAAAGGCCTTGGAAAATTACCAGCTACCTTTCTGGAGGAAATGACAGAGAGAGAACATAAACCTGTCTGAGGTCCCTCGCTGTACATTTCTAGACTTCTCACCCAGATACTATTTTTGCTACTGCTAAATAACAGGGCCGAACCCACAGTCTACTGCTACTCATGAAGCTCTACTGGACAACGAGGTCAACAGACCCTCTTCAGTGCTTGAAATCTTACCTTCATTATCGTAGGAGCCAGCCACAGACCGGGAGATATAGCCAGGAACTACAGCAATCATGGCAGCAGCAAGAAGTCCAGCTCCTGCATCCTGCAAGAAAGGAGGGAGAACAGGAGGTTAACACAATACATACCCGAGAGAGGAGAACAGGATCCACTAGTCCATTCTGCTCATAATGGGCCCAGAGAACAGTCCGACACTTTCCAAGGCAGATGTGATGCTAAAAATGCTAGAAATGTTCACAGCACAAGAAAGCTAAATACTTCACAACCGATTCCCCTCGACGACACCAAGTCTGAAACCGAGTACACACATGCTGAGGACAGACAAACCAGGTAAGCTGTCAGGTGCCCCAGATGCTGCCCCAGAATGGGCTGTTTGGCTGGAGTATCCCCAGACTTATGAGTCCCTATCCCTAACAATACCTGCGCACCGCAGGAACACCAGTCACACCTCTAAAAGCTCTGCAAAGACAGTTAAGGGAAGATCATAATTACTTGAGCTAAAAAACCAACAAAGAGAGGTGATAATCTATTTGGACTAAAGATGCCAGGAGCTCAGATGATAAAGTTGGAATATTCCTAGGCAATCTGTGAACTCAGGAGAGAGGAACAACAAAATGCAACCCACACTCCACAAGAGGAAGGACTTGTCTATTAATAAGAGTCAAATTTGGAAAAGGGCAGCAAGGAGAAGATGAAAAAGCTTCCAAACTCAAGCTTCCCAAGCCCTCCTGCTAGTTCATCACCTCTCGGGTATCCTCCTGACACCACAGTCACAAACTAAGAATAGCACCCAGGAGCCAGGGTCAGCAATGCAGCAACCTAGAAAGAGAGCCAGTATTATGAAGTCTACTACAAAAGCCAAGCGGTTTAAGAATTTTTAAATAAATGTTTAAAACAACAACAACAACAAATAATTGCTCAGTGTCCATTTCCAGCAGGAAGCACTAATCACTTTGGAATAGTTCTTGTAGTTATTTTTTCTCTCCCTTAGATTGTGAGGACTTCAAAATCTAAACCTCACATTTCGCATTTCAAGTGATTCGTTTTCCATAGGCACCAATTTATATTTGAACTTCAAATGTTCTCTTATCAGGACAAAGAGTTGTTAATGATAAGAAACCACATATCCTAGGGAAGGCTGGAGTGAACCCGGTAATTCAGCTCAGCAGAAGCTCTCTAGCCTCCGGCTCTCTGCGCTTCCAAGGCTCTCAGTCCCCCACCCTTCAACATCGACTAGAGAGGTAAACAACAGTCATTCCCGAGCCGCCTGTCACCCCAGTCCTTCACCTTGAGCTCTTTGGTGAGGTGGTACGTGACGATGGTAGTGAAGGAAGAGAAGAGAGGGGCCAGGAACACACAGACATTCCGAATGTCGATGGTGATGTGGAAAAAATGGAGGACATGGTAGATTGCAGCGGAGGTGATCATTAAGCCTGCAACAGGAAGAAGAAACGCCATTAAGTTATCCCAGAAAGACAAAGGACTTAAGGGAAAGAGAAAGGGAAACCCAAGTATCAATAAGTGACAACACAGGTCTTGACAAACCACCAGAAATCCTAACACAGCAACTGCAGGAAGCCTATAAATTTCCCCCCTAAGGATTCAATCCGAAGTCCAGAATTCATGAAAAGCTAACCACCCACACTCTCCCATACATGGTCTCCTTTCTATATAAACTGTATTTTTAGGAATTTGTAATCAGAATGAAATGACAAGTATCACAAAATGACATTAAAAATAAAAGAAACTGTTCCATTATATACAAATATCTTATTTCTGTGAAGAAAAAAAAATCCTATTCCCCTCACCTGGGTAAATTGTTCCTCCAATGATTCGTCCCAAAGGGTACCAGGCCCGGTCATCAAACCAGTTATGGAATTTATAAAATCCCTCCTCAGCCAGGAAGCGGGTAGTCCGGTAATTAAAGTACCTACAGTGAGAAAAGGAAAGATGTGTCTTCTCCCCTTCATGCTCAGGTGCTTGCCCCAGCCTGCAGTGCATTTTGCTTCTCAGGTTTACAAAATTTGAGGAACTTCCCATTACTCCAATAAAAGTCAGTTTGGTACCAAAAAAGTATGCCAAGCATGAGGGTCTCCTCATTTCTAGCTTCATTCTTATCTCAGCTAAAGCACTGCTTCTTTCTTAAGAAAACGCGACTGGAGCCTAAACTTGTAAGGAAACACTCAAGCAGGATACTTCACCAGGCTGACATGCAGGAGGCATCAGTCCCAGTGAGAAACTTCAAGGACCCAAAAGACAGGACAGCTGAGATGTGGGCACTGATAGATTTGGGCTCTTTTCAAGTGACATGAACACACAAAAGAACATTTTCATACCACACACAGACACATGGATAACCTCAAGTGATGAGCAGCTCTAAAGATGTGGGTATAACACTGTATGCAAGATGAAAAATTTTTTAGTCCACTCCACAACACAAACTTCTTAATCACTCTCTAAACTTGTAATTAGATCTACTCATGTTGTTATTTAAAATAGTTTTGAATGCCACCTACATAGTAGCATAAAAATACAGGTTATATTAAAAATATTTGATATAAAATACTGAGTTATACACAGAAAGACAGTTCTTCAGGTCCAAGCTATGTAACCGCTTCTCTTAAATTTCTCATTTAAAAATAAATAAAAAATAAAGACAAAAAACTATAAATAATAAAAATATAAATGAATAATAAAATATAAGGCACTGTTTAATTACTACAGATAGTAATGACTGACCATCTTTCCTGCCCACCCCTCTAACCCCATTTCCTCCTTGGTCAGTCGAGTTTTAGCAGCTGCAGTAAGCAGAGGTAGCAGATGGCAGAAATCTTTATCCTTCTGCTGTTGCTGATGAATGTTATTTTGGTAACTGTCAGGGAGACAGAAGGGATGAGGGTACAGGCAGTCAACATGTGTCAGAACTGAGTCCTTTACCTAACCGAGGGAGAGGCTGAGTGAAGTGGGGTAAGTATAAGCTAGTGGGAGTAGGTCTGGGCTGGGGTCTCACCCTGCACTCAGTTTCCTGCTGTGCAAAAGGAAGTGTTAAATCACATGATCCCTACAGTCCCTTCCGGCTCTCCGACTGCAGAGCAGATGCTCTTGCTTCACTGACCATCTCATCTCAGTGTGTGCTCATCTACAGGGTCAGAGAAAAAGCCCTAACAGACTGGTGATCGAGAAATGAAAGGATATGTTTCCTCCATGAGAAAAAATATAAATTGCTTTGGGAGGCCCCAAAGAAAGTATCTGTAGGTCTCCAAAGTGCTTTCAAACATCTGCACAAAACAATATGACAAATCTGCAAATACATGCAGGTATTAAACTTGAATCAATGCTCTGAATATGCTATTTTTAAGATATCAATGATGCTTCGAGAACATATGATTCTGGCCCTCTAAATTTTTAATTAAGCCTTAACTTTAGACAATATAGCACAGTGTCATATATATAACTCCAGTGTCTAGAGATAGACAAATCTAGATTCAAATCTTGGCTCCTCCACTTACTATACGTATAACCTTGAATAGCCTCTCCCAGCCTCAGACACATATGTAAAAAGGAGATAACAGTACCTCTATCTCACAGGGTTATTGTAAGGATTTAGAGATAATCTGTAAAACAGTGTTTGGAACAAAATGAAGCTCAGTAAATGTCTTTCATCTGTATCTTTTTTTATCTAATAAACCAAAATCCCTAGTCAAACTCCCAGCTTCAGATTTTCCCCAATGTCTTAAAACTTAACTCATAGGCCCAATTTCTATTATACAAATTGTTAAACAGGGAAAAGTCATGAATCTCAAGTTCATGACTTGTGATTTTTCCTCTGAGCCTCAAACACACAGCAGGCACAGGCCCCTTCCCCTCAATCTGTACCAGTAACAGTCAATCAAGCTGAGAAGCCAGACTTCTCTCAGCCTGGCCAGATCTTAGGTGACAGGCAGCTTTACCAGCAGTGCCTCTGCCATTCTGTATGAACTTGACAGACTCACTTGGTCTCAAATTCCAACAGAAATATTTCAAAAGGAGACAGTATTGCCTTTGGAAAACTTGAGGGATTTCCCCCTCTAAATGTATAGCAAATACATCCCCATCACTGAGAGCTGACTGGAATCTGAATTTGAAACCCATGAACCTGAATGCTTCCTAAAGGAAATACCAGACCAAGCAAAGGTACTCACGGATCAAATTCATGGATGACACTTTCAAATCTCAGGACGGCAAAAAGACGAGTGGAGAACGCTGCAAAAACCAGAGAACCAACATTTTAACGGTAATGTACCATGAAAAACAATAGTAGATATTAATATTATAGAGATTAGTAGTATATAAAATGAGTATATAGTATATAACATGAGTATATAAAAAGAGCATATCATATATAAATTGATCTTTGAATAAAGTATTTATCCATTTCTGGATAAATACACACAGAAGAAACAAAGTTCACTGTCCCCTGACAATGACACCTACTTTTTCCACTTAAGTAGGACACATTTAACTACTTATTATCAAGGCCTATGACAATACATTCAACAATATGTACTAATAATACCGTGTTCGATTTAAGCAGTCGTCTTTTATATATCCCCTCCCCATAACCTTATCTTTGCAGCAAACTAAGAGGTAAGGCAATCATGCCTTATGACTCATAAAGAGCCAGAAAACTCTAAGAAAACAGAGTAAGTTCTGGAGCGACCTTCAGAAATACTAAGGTAACCAATTACAGAGAACAAATGTCCTTTACAAAGTTCAGTATCCCAGGGTCACCGGGCGCTCTCGACCCCATGAGAAAACAGAATCAGCACAGCATGTGGCCCGTTCTTTCCCAGATGATCATTAGCCCCAACTTCTATAATGCTTGCGTTTCTTCGATTTTGCTTTCTTAAAATTATACTGATCGAGAACAGCAAAAAGAATACATTACAATCTGCTGAGAAAAGTAAGGCACTTAAGAAAGCCACTGTTGACTTTTTTCAAGATTTTCTCCTTTCCACAGCCAAAGAACGAGGTCCACATGCACACTCACATAACACAGCAGCCATCGACAGAATTAGAAGCTTCAGAAGTGTGTCCTGCTTCTCATAGGACAACCGCAAAAATCCCAGTTTAGTCATCTTGACATCAATGGGTGGCAACAGATGACACTCAAATAGCTAAAATGGAAAAGTCAAGACCATAAGATATTAAACATCTTCAATTTACCTAATTCACTTTCATATTTTAGGGTGGTAGAGAACCACAGAGACAGGAGGTAGTGAACACACCAGAGAGGGTCAGGACTAACACTAATTCCCAAGCCCTGACTGAATTATGACCAACTGGTAAGGAAGTAGGCATGTCAGGTCTGTGAATTAGGAATGAAAAGGACTGACGAGACCCCAAAACCGTAATTCTGTTTCCTAGTTCTCAAAGCTGACAAGTACCTAAGCACAACTGGCAAGTGTGGTACAACAGGAGTAAAAAAACCACGTATAGAGCAAAGGGGGGTTGGAGGATGACATGCAAAGAAAATAGGAAAGATAGGGAATAGAAAAAATAATTATATGGAGAAAGAGAGCATTCAAGAAAAGGCAGGAATGTATGAAAGAAAGCAGGGACTAAGTATAGCAGTGAAAGCGGAAAGCTGAAAAACAGAAGTCATGACTGGATCAGCACAGTTTACAAACCTAAATTTCAGCTTCAACTGATTGGCTACAAACTTCTTTCTGTTCCAAATTCCCATGGGGTTGCAGGGTCAACTAAAGAGTATGACTGACCCCTAACGCAGTTACAGGCATGCAGTCAAGAAGAGAGGGACTCACACATACACAAATCACTGTACTTTCAATCCTTTACATCACACTGTAACTACTGTTTAGAGCTACACCACTTCCAATAAGCTGTTCAAAGCATCTCTGTAATTGACACTGCTGATTTAAGCCTCTGGTACCAGACACAGCTCATGGAACCAGATGACAAGCTGGAAGGAAAAGAAAATTTTCCTATCAAAGCAAAAAAACAAAAACAAAAACAAAAAAACTCGGGCTGGGGTGGGGGTTGCTAGAGTAAAATAAAATGTTGAGGGAGGTAGTCTGTAGACTATTCAGAATGGTGATCACTTAATGGACAAGATTTATTAGCACTAATTAGGAGCTTAGCCATTTCCATTTAAGACAGCACTTAAACCGTAAGCTGGTCGAGGGCTAAGTGCTAAAGAATATAATAATAAAGAATATGCAACACTGTACAAGACTGCAGGGGGAAAAAAGGAATCTGGATCCCTCCTGATCTTTCCCCCAGCATTACTAGAGGAAAAGAGGAGGGAAATAACACTGGACTAGGTGGAAGGCATGAGGAATCATACACTCCTAGCTCCAACCGTGAGAAGTCCATCGTCTTTTCCATAATTAACCGTCCCAGAGGGGCAGCTCTACACTTGTTTTAATTATAATCCCAAAGGAAAACCTTATCTTGCAATAAAAAATAAACACCTAACTCCAGGAAGTCAATAATCCAGCCACATCCCTCAGGTTTGTACTTGTTTTCTCCAACGCTGAAATGGGAAAACATACCATCACTGAGGTGATAGGCTCCTTCCGCCTCTAAGTGTAAGCGGGGTAAATGAGTGCTAGAACCTCTACCTGAAAACTGAGTAAAGGAGCTGGTAATTTAGGCCAGGACCTTACGGGAGTTTCCATACTGTAGTGTCTGGCGTTTTCGCACACCCCAAAGTAAGTAAAGGCAAAGACACTTTTCTTAGAACACTTGGCATCTGTCCTCCACCTCAACTGTGCCTGCAAGCTGGGGCCTCCCTGTTCCACCCAATTCCCAAGACGGCAACTTGCCCACCCCGTTCGCCTACGCACTTTCTCACACCTTCCCCGACTTCTGCTCGCTCCTGCAGGTCCCTCCTCCCTGTCTCCCACGTTCAAAAAGCTCAACCCCTCTAACACCAGGCACCGCGAGACACCCCACCACCTTGGCATTCGAAGCGCCATCCCCTCCAGGACTAGTCCCAGGATCCTATCTTTCCCACGCCCTCCGGGCCTAAGCGCACGCCCCATCCCAGACCCTCACATCCTCCCATTCTAGGATGTCCCCACGCCACGCCCCACGCCCCCTCCTCTGCAAGGCCCTCGACTCTGTTCTGCACCCAAGCCCCACGCCGTTTGAGCCCCACCACCTGCACTTCGCTCAGCCCCACCAACGCCTGCGACTGCACCTGCCGCTAATTCTGAAATCATATCCTAAGGCCTTCTCACCTGAGCCGCGTCCCTCAAGACTCCGCTGGGCTCCCTCTACCATCCGTTCAGCGTTCAGCGGCGCAGCCAACCCTGGCAGCGCCGGGTCGGCCTCCCGGGCCGCTCCCCATTGGCTGGCTCAGGGCCGATCTGATACTTAGTGAGAGCGATAGGATCGCGGAACTGTCTGTCAGGCTCGGAGGCGTGGACAAAGCCGCATTCCCGCTTTTTAACTGGACAATACAGATATCACTTAGCAGCGGGGAGGCGGGACTCGGTTCAACCGCCGAGCGGTGATAGGCCCGCTCGTGAGAGCGAGAGCGCGGAAAGAACTCGCTCGCAGCAGTTTGGTTGAGGGTCGAGCAGTGACGTGTCCGTCTGAGGACCGCGGAGGAGTCGCGGACGGAAGGTGTGTTCTGTTCAGCCCAGTCGTGAACGGAAGCGGAAACTACGCGAAGGAATGGGTCGGAACTACAAATCCCCAAAAACCAGCCTGTATTCGCTCCCCTCCGTTTCTGAGTTTTGTTTCTTTAACGGTAGAAGTTGGCTATTACCTCATATAAGGTTAAAGGAGAGGTGGGAAGAATTTTCTTCCTATTCTCAATGAAAACTCAAACGCTTCCCGGTCCAGGCCGTTGCATCCTGTACGGGATCTTGTCTGACAGTTCGCCCAAGAGCCGTCTTGGACGATGCTCCGGTAAAGTGCAGTGGACGACAGCCCTGACCAGTTTCACGGGCCGTTTTCCTTTCTTAAACCCCTGACCTCGTTAGTGAACATACCTGGGCTAGACGGATCGTCGGGTTTGGGCTGGAAGAATCCACGCCCCGGGCCGAGAGTCCATCGCTGCCGCGGAGGCGGTCCTCCGCAGCGGTAGACAGGCTTCTTCCGGGGAACCTGTCAGCTCACCCCTCTCTAAGATACCCGACAGTGAAAGCTGCCCTGACTCGCCGCCTCTCCCTTCCTCTCCTCCCCCGCAAAGAAAAGCTGCAAGGGCAGGGAAGGGGGCGAAGTTTCAGCAGCCAATCCCGTCACCTCTAGAGCCGCCCTCCCACTCCCTACACACCTTAAAGAGCAAGAGCTACACCAAGGAAAATGGGAGCATCGGCAGCTCTTCTAACTTAGTCCCAGCGTCACTCATTTCCCTTCGCAGTTACTCTACTGTGAATGCAACCGACAAAACTTACTGAAAGCTTATTAAATCAGTGCTTCAAAATCACGTGTACTTCTCAAAATTCTCATGACCGGGTTCACCCCAAGACGTTATGATTCAACAGATCTGCTTTTTCGTTTTGTATTCATAATAATGTGTTTAATGTAATTTTATGAACAGAACTGAAGCTGAACCTGAAGGAATTGCAGGACTTCATGTAAATGCTTCTTCAAAATGAGTTTTTTTTAAAGAGCTAAAATTGGAAAGATTCCTTTAGATTGAAAAACATACTGCTTCAAGAACATTAAGATATTGAAGTTCTTTTTTTGAATTACTGGACACGTTTCTTAAAAGGGACTATGTTTAAGTTTTCAGGTGATACAATTAAGTCAACTTTTTCAGAAGTCAAAATATACTACTAAAGAACAGTTTAAAATCTAAGCCTATTTTTAGGCTGATTCTTTAATATAAGGGAAAGGTTTATAAGTAAAATCAAAGTCAGGATGGCAAAGTCATGGGGAAAATTATAGTTATTATAAACACAGAGGTTGTAAGTGAATTCAGCATATCCGTTCATCCTTCTCCTGACTTACCGGACCAAAAGTCTTGATTTGGTTGTTTCAGAAAAACTTTTTTACAAGCCCATCAGTTATTTAAAATAATGCTATTTTTAGCTTGCCTTGTCAGAGTTCTGTCACTCCTGTGGAGCTTTTGGTCTTTCCTGAAGTGTGTCCTTACCTTTTTCATATCACTGATCAACAGAATGTCTTCTTGTCATCTGGAGCAGACCAGAGTTAACAATGTTTTCCTCTTGAAAATACTCTCCTCAGAACCTTCCTTTCCAAGTGTGCTGCACAGCAGTCTTACTAGGATTGCTCAAGGCACCTCTGATTTCACTATTTCATGGTGTTTGGCTGTTTTACTCAGTCATCTACTTCTTGGATTTATTTCTCACCTTGATAGATTCTCCAAGTAACTTTTTCAGAAAAACTGAATAGAAAGCAAACAATGCTTTTATTTTGTCCTTAACAGCATAGCTAGGTTTAGTTATAGGAACAAAACTGGGACCCATCCATCCCAGACACACAGAAGCTCACCTAACAGCACACTGTCAAGGCATTGTAATTTCACCTTCTACTACCCAGAGTTGTCCCTGAGAAGTCTAATACCAATGTGAGTCACAGTCTCTTTTAGTAACCTATTTTTCTCCGATGTCTTTCCTTAGAGATTCCATTTTGGGATTTTCTGGCTTTTTTTTTTTCCCCATTGGTTTATGCTTGGCAGGCCCTTTCTATCCGAAAACTCTAAATAATTTTCATCATCAGTCCTGGACATTTTCTGATTTTATTCTTGTCTCCATGCTTCTGTTCTCATTTTCTGAAACAAACGTTGGATCTGGTTCCTGGATGCCTCATGATTCTTAACTCTTCCCATGCCTTAATCTTTTTGCTCTTTGTTCTGAGAAATTTCCTCAACTTTATGTTGCAGTTCTCTGATTTAGCCCCCTCAACATCACTTTTGTAAGCCATCTCATTTTATTTCCACAACTGTTTTCATTTCCAAGTACTTTCCCATTCTGTCCCCTTTTCACAACCTGTTTTTTATGGATGCAACAGCTTACCAAGTATCTATGAAAGTAGTTATTAGAATTTTAAGTTTTATTTGTAGAATTACTTAAATTTCCTCCAGGGCCAGGTTACCCAACCTTGAGATCTATGAAAATAGTAGCTATTTCAATACATAATTTTGAAAAATGTTGTTACTTCTCAGTCTCCTACACTGTACTGTTAGGTCCAAGAGGACAATAATCCTATTTCTGGTTCACTCTTGAATCCCCAGTACCCTACAGAGCCTGCTAGAGAAGGCGCCCAAATGATTGTTACATGATTAAGTCACCTGTCCCCCTCACTTTATCCTTTACTGTTTCTATGGACTCACTTAGATCCATCCAGTATATTTTACTGGATATATGGCTCTGGTTATTAAAGAGACCTAACTTACACAATCACCTGATGTCAGCTTCCTCTAGCTTCTCTCTATGGGTTGGAATGTAGCATAGGAGGAATGTTGGGATGGTGGTGGGGGGCGGAGATGACTGCTACAGTCCTCCATCACACCACTGAAGAACTGAGAACCTTCACTAGAGCAATCTCCACGGAGGTAAACACGGAGTGCAGAAGCTGAGTAAGTGAACTACTTCTGTAATCAGAAAATAAGTGGATGGAAAATGAACAGTGAACAATTACAGTTGCTCTTTTACTTCCACAGAGGTTATCCTTTAAGGTGGTTCACAAACCCGTAACCACTAGTTGCCCTCTTCTGGGCTTATTCCAATTTGTCACAATTTCTTGTAAACTTTATCTTGGCCGTTGCTAAGTGCAGAACAATTAACAAGTCAGGGCACAAGTCTGCCCATTTAAGTTCCCAGCAGACAACATATTCAGGTCTGAAGCATCTACTTTCTAGAGCTGCTATAATGCACAGCTCAGCTCTAGGGCAGGATAAGAGGGTAGTATTTTGAACCATACAGACCTGTCCAAGCTGTGATGTTTGTCCCTGAAAAGAGCTTCTGTGAACATGTTTCCTTAGAGCCTCCTGGCTACATGACTGAAACTCAAGCTCTCATTTTCACCTTTAGTGATGTGCCCTCCCCGATTTTCAGTTACTCTCAGTCTGCCTTAAACTGCCATTCTGAACTTGACAAAAACAGAGCCGACCCTGCCTTTGGTCCCTATTTCCTAACCCCTGCCCTCAGAGGTCATACCCCAGGAAAAGGCAGAAGTTTACACTGCTTTTGTTTACATTTCATGAGATCAGGAATACCTACAAAAAGAGAGATTTGATAATCTAGCCTTTGCACAGGCCTGGCCTCTTATTTACACTAATAAAACTTTACAGATTCCTCACTTCTAATAACTTCAAATTCAAGCATTCTCTGTAGCTAGGCACGGTGCTGGATAATTCCACAGGCCTTCATCAACTCAACCTCCCTCACCTTCTAACACTAAGCTAAGACCAGCTTAGCTGGCACAAATAGGAATTTTAGGCAGCAAAGATGTGGCCATTTTAATCTGATTTTAAAAACTTCAGTTACTAATCTTAAAAAAGACAATCCTGATCAGTTGCAAGCTGACGAAATACTGAGATCTTCTGCAAACCACTCTCACTACTGCACTGCTCTTCTTGAATGACCAGAGATGTCAGAGTACAGCCAGGACATCTTCAAGTGTCTTTTACAATTTTTTGTTCACAAGCTGGAAACACGTACTTCCAAAATATTCACAACTTTAAAACCTTCTCTATTTCAAACTTGGTTTACATCTCCTAGCAACAATTTCTAAATCCTTATTTTGTCTTCTACACAGTAAGGGTTTCTGTTAACTGAACATCTAATCTCTTCCCCAGTGAGAATGTTCAGGTCGTTGAAGTCTAAAAGGATCTCCCTCCCTTCATAAATACACAGGAGAGATGTACATACAGACTTTAAAACAACGCAATCCCAAATTCTTTCACAAGATGTTGACATGATTATAATCATATAACCCAAACTTCTTCGGGGAAACTTTTTCAGAACTAAATCTTCCAAATTATTATCTTGTGTTCCATGAATATATTTCTTGAAGTGATGACCTTTAAATTCAACCATTACACTCCTGTGGGAAACCAGCTCACATCTGTGACATCTTAAAACCATACAAGTGTTTTGAGGTCTGTCCCCTCCCCCTATATTTAGTCTCTTTAAAATGACAGGAAAACATCAAGCAATCACAGATGT